GAGAGCCAAATCATAAGTGAACTCCCATTCACATTTGCTACAAAGAGAATAAAAGGCCTAGGAATACAACTTAGAGGGGATGTGACGGACTTTTTCAAGAAGAGCTACAAACCACTTCTCAAGGAAATAAGAGAGTACACAAACAAATGGAAAAATATTCCATGCTCATGGATAGGAAGAATCAATATTGTGAAAATGGCCATACTTCTCAAAGTAATTTATAGATTCAATGCTATTCCCATCAAGCTACCATTGACTTTCTTGACAGAATTAGAAAAAACTACTTTAAATTTCATATGGAACCAAAAAAGAGCCCATATAGTCAAGACAATCCTAAACAAAAAGAACAAAGCTGGAGGCATCACACTACCTGACTTCAAACTATACTACAAGGCTACAGTAACCAAAACAGCATGGCACTGGTACCAAAACAGATATATAGACCAATGGAATAGAACAGAGGCCTCAGAAATAACACCACACACCTACAACCATCTGATCTTTGACAAACCTGACAAAAACAAGCAATGGGGAAAGGATTCCCTTTTTAATAAATGGTGTTGGGAAAACTGGCTAGCCATCCATACGCAGAAAACTGAAAATGGACCCCTTCCTTACATCTCATACAAAAATCAACTCAAGAAGGATCAAAGACTTAAATGTAAGACCTAAAGCCATAAAAACCCTAGAAGGAAACCTAGGCAATACCATTCAGCACATAGGCATGGGCAAAGACTTCATGACTAAAACACCAAAAGCAATTGCAACAAAAGCCAAGATAGACAAACTGGATCTAATTAAACTAAAGAACTTCTGCACATTAAAAGAAACTATCATCAGAGTGAACAGGCAACCTACAGAGTGGGAGAAAATTTCTGCAATCTATCCATCTGACAAAGGGCTAATATCAAGAATCTACAAGGAACTTAAATTTACAAGAAAAAACCAAACAACCCTATCAAAAAGTGGGTGAAGAATATGAACAGACACTTCTTAAAAGAAGACATTTATGCGGCCAACAAACATATGAAAAAAAGCTCATCATCACTGGTCGTTAGAGAAATGCAAATCAAAACCACAATGAGATACCATCTCATGCCAGTTAGAATGGTGATAATTAAAATGTCAGGAAACAACAGATGCTGGAGAGGATGTGGAGAAATAGGAACACTTTTACACTGTTGGTGGGAGTGTAAATTAGTTTAACCCTTGTGGAAGACAGTGTGGCAATTTCTCAAGGATCTAGAAACAGAAATATCATTTGACCCAGCATCCCATTAATGGGTATATACCCAAAGGATTATAAAGCATTCTACTATACAGATATATGCATAGGTAGATATGTGCCATGGTGGTTTGCTGCACCCATCAACCCGTCATCTATGTTAGGTATTTGCAGGGACATGGGTGAAGCTGGAAACCATCATTCTCAGCAAACTAACACAGGAACAGAAAATCAAACACCGCATGTTCTCACTCGTAAGTGAGAGTTGAACAATGAGAACACATGGACACAGGGAGGGGAACATCACACACTGGGGGCTGTCAGGGGGTGGGGAACAAGGGGAGGGTCACCATTAGGACAAATACCTCCATCAGATCTCGTGAGACTTATTATCATGAGAATTGCACACAAAAGATTGCCCCCCATGATTTAATTACCTCCCCCTGGGTACCTCCCACAACATGTGGGAATTCTGGACATAGAATTCAAGTTGAGATTTGGGTGGGGACACAGTCAAACCATATCAATACAACATAAACAAAATGAAGGGAAAAACAACCCATGATCATCTCCATTGATGCAGAAGAAGCATTTGACAAAATTTATCACCTTTTTATGATAAAAGCACTCAACAAACTAGGAATAAAAATTAACTGCTTCAATATATTCAAGGCCATATGTGAAAAGTCCGCAGCTGACATCATAGTCAATGGTGAAAAGCTGAAAGCTTTCTTATTAAGATTAGAAACAAGACAAGGGTGTTCTTTATCACTTCTAGTCAACATAGTACTAAAAGTCCTAGCCAGTGCAACTAGGCAAGATGATGAAATAAAAGGCATCCAAATTAGAGAGAAACAAAGTTATCCTCTGATCACAGACAACACAATCTTATAGGTAGAAAAACCCTAAATATTTCACACACATACACAAAATAAGAATTAATAAAATTCAGCAAAGTTGCAGGATAGAAAATCAACACACAAAAATCAGGTGTTTTTCTATGTATTAACAATGAGCTACCTGGAAAGAATTATAAAAATACTTTCACTTATAATTGCATCAAAAGTATAAAATACTTAGAAATAAACTTAACTGAGATGCAAAACCTGTACACTGAAAACTACAAAACACTGCTGAAAGAATTTAAATAAGATACAAATAGAAAGACATCCCATGTTTGTGGATTTGAAAGTTTATAATGTTAAGATGTCAATCCTACCCAAAATGATCTACAGATGCAATGCAATCCCTCTGAAAATCCCAATATTTTTTGTAGAAATAGAAACATCTATCCTGAAATTCATTTGGAATTCCAAGACACCCCAAATGGCCAAAATAATCTTGAAAAATAAAAACAAAGTTGGAGGTCTCACACCTCCTGATTTTCAAACTTACTACAAAGCTACAGTAACCAAACAGTGTGGTACAGTGTGGTGTAAAGACAGATGTATAGGCTAGTGAAAGAAAATGGAAAGCCCAGAAGTCAACCACACATATATGATCACATGACTTTTGACAAAGGTTCCAAGACCATTCAATGGAGAAAGGGTAATCTCTTCAACAAACGGTGTTGAGAAAACTGGATATTCACAAATAAAAGAATGAAGTAAGACCATTACTTAATATCACACACAAAAATTAACTCAAAATGCATCAAAGACCTAAATGTAAAACCTAAAGCTATAAAACTCTTAAAACATAACGCAACAGTGGATTTGGCAATGATTTATTGATTATGGCACTAAAAGCATAGTCAATAAAAGAAAAAATTGATAAATTAGACTACCTCAAAATCTAAAACTTATATGAATCAAAGGACATAATCAACAAAAAGGCAACCCACACATCGGGAGAAAATATTTGCAAATTATATCTTTTTTAAAGTGTTAATATCCAAAATATATAAAGAACTCCTACAAATCAACAACAAAATAAAACCTGATTAAAAAAAAATGGTCAAGAGACTTGAATTGGCATTTCTCCAAAGAATATATACAAATAGGCAGCAGTCACACAAAAAGATGTTCAATGTCACTAATCATTAGGGATATTCAAATAAAAACTCACAATGAGATGCCACCTCATACCCATTAGGATGGCTACTATAACAAAACAAAACAAAATAGTAAGTGTTGGCAAGGTAGTAGAGAAACTGGAATCCTTCTACATTCTTGGTGCAAATGTAAAATGGTGCAGCCACTATGGAAAACAATATGGTAGTTCCTCAAAAAATTAAAATATAATTACCATATGATCCAATAATTCCACTTCTGGATATATACTCAAAAGAATCGAAAGCAAGGTTTCGAACAGATAGTTGCATGCACATGTTCATAGACAGTGCATTATTCACAATAGTTAAACATGGAAGCGCCCCAAATTGTCCACTGATGGATAAAGGATATGCAATTTGTGATATATATATATATAGTGGAATATTATTCAGCCTTAAAAAGGAAGGACATTCTGACATATGCTAAAACACGGATGAACCTTGAGGACATTATACACTATGCTAAGCGAAATAAGCTGGTCACAAAATACCATATGATTCCCCTTATATGAGGTACTTGGAGTAGCCAAAATCATATATATAAAGTAGAGTGGTGGTTGACAAGGGCTAGGGAGAGAGCGGAGTACAGAGTTCTTATCTAATGGGTGGAGAGTTTCAGTTTTGCAAGATGAAAAGAGTTGTGGAAACGGATGGTGGTGATGGCTGTACAACAATGTGAATGTACTTAATGTCACGGAAACACACATTTTAAAATGGTTAAGATGGTAAATTTTGTATTTATCACAATTTTTAAAAATTAAAATCAAAAGACCATTTTTTTAAGACACATGCTAAGAAGAAGAGAAAACCACAAAAGTAAAAATAACACCTTAGCCCCATGATACAAATTTGGGGGATATTTTATTAGGATAATTAGAAATAATGCAAATTCCTTTCCTCTATAAAATCTGAACTTAAATGTTTTCAATTGCTTACACACATTTTCATTCATTAGCTACTTTGATAAATGCTTTATAATAGTCTTTGTTCAATACGACGGTAAAAAAATGAAAAACATTCATTTTTAAAAATAAAATTTTGGGAGACTAATATACATACTTTTTCCTGATTTCAGAATTCCTTGAATGCCCAGATTTGCACAGACATGAATGTGTATTAAAATTACTTAGTTAAAATATCTGGTTACGAAATATTCTACATATTCTGCTAAACATTTTTAACTTCTAATTTGATTCTTGTGTTAATAAAAACATCATCTGTCAGTGGAACATCGGGCACGAGAAATATAGCTAGCAAGGCTGATATATATGAAAATGTGTGTACTGATGAATATAACTCTAGAGATTATGTAAGAATACTGTTTCTAACGATTAGAGTATGATAAAAGGGGATACTAAACTCTCAAAGAATGTATTACTTTTAGAAGGTCCATACACCAAGGCTTGATGTTATTTTTAGACCACAAAAGTATTACAACAGTCACTCAGAAATCTGAGATTAGCCCATCTTTAAGCAGTAAATCTGAAAAAAACTTGAAACAAAATCATCTTTGACTTCCATACTCCAATAACATCAATAAACTAACTTTCAAAAGTACAGCAATTAAATTTATACTGCAATGTAGGAATCTTTTTCAGAAAATGCAGTGAAGCTTGGTGAGGAAAGGGGAGTTATGAGAAATGAATTCTACAGACTATGAAAGTGACTGGTGGGAAAACTATTTGAGGTGCCCTTCTAAGACAGGGTAAAGTCTGAGGTGACCTTATTTTAGGAATTTCAATAGGCGAAGATCTGTCTTCATCTTGAAACAAGACAGCAAAGTCTTCATCTTCAGATGGGCCTGAAGTTACTTCGTTTTGAAATGGGATAAAGCAACCAGAATTTTTATAAGATGAAGAAAATCCAGCTTTATGGAGGAATGGGAAAGTTCCACTTTGAGAGGGATGCTGTTGAATCGTGATTGCAGAACGATCTGTGCTGTAACTTTCAGTACCAGGATGAAGGAAATCTTTTAAATCTTTACATAATTGGCCCCTTTGTTGAATATCAGTGGCAATTCCATTTTGTTGATCGGGAGAGGAAACATCATTTGCAAGAGAAAAGAAGGATGATGTGCTTTGTTGATAGGAGGCTGTATCAATAGTGTTCCCAAAGGCTGGAGAAGTAGTGTTTGTTTCAAAATTCTTAAAATTTTTAGTGTTATATTCAGGAGCAGAGATGGTTATATGTTTTTTAGCATCAGTATTATTTGAGGTTTTAGAAAAGATTTCGATTTCTTTTAGATTAAACACATTCTGGCCACTTGCTTGAGGATCAAAAAAATTGGCACTCTTGTAATAGGAAACTATACTTAGTTTACGGGATGAGAAACGTCTCCTGCAGGACATAAAGCTACCAAAACGGTCTGAGGAAGATTTTAAATCAGTGAAGCTTGTGTCTTCTTCAGAATCAAAGTTAGCTCTACTTTGTTGACGGTATGAGGAAGCATTTCTGTTTTGAAATCCAACAAATAGAGAACATCTTCTTTCAGAGAAAGATGGACTTGATAGAGATAATAACCTTCTACTTGCTTTGGCTGAATTGACTTTACGTGTTATAGGGGAATAAGATGTTTTATGACCAAGAGATATATTTGGTTGTGAAATAGAAGAGGCTCCACGATGCTGGGCGTCTGTAGTAACTTGATCTTCTGGAGAACATCGCTGGAAGCTCTGGTCCTCTTTACAGCAGCTAGAGTGAGAAAAGGGTCAAATGAGGAAAAAAAAATAGGGAGCAGAGTGGAGACCTGCCAAGCCTCCTGAAGGATAATATCCACATTTTGGTGTCTACCAGCTGGTACTGTTTCCATACTAAGACAGAAACAGCAGGGAATAAGAATAGGGGAGCTGAAGTTAATGGTCACACAGATGTACTCAAAAGAATACACGAGTCTAAAAGCTTATTTCTGCCTACATAGTACCTACCCACTCTATTAAACCTTGGGAAGAGAAGTTGATAAAATCAGGAAAGCAGGCAGAAAGATCAGGGGAAGCATATGCCAGGATACCAGAACAAAAAGATTCCCAAAGGAAAAGACAGAACTGGTTTTAAAAATAATAAACCAGGCCGGGCTCAGTGGCTCAGGGCTCTAATCCTAGCACTTTGGGAGGCTGAGGCGGGTGGATCACAAGGTCAGGACATCGAGACCATCCTGGCTAACACAGTGAAACACCGTCTCTACTAAAAATATTAAAAAATTGGCCGGGCGTGGTGGTGGGCGCCTGTAGTCCCAGCTACTCGGGAGGCTGAGGCGGGAGAATGGCGTCAACCCAGAAGTCGGAGGTTGCAGTGAGCCGAGATCGCACCACTGCACTCCAGCCTGGGTGACAAGTGAGACTCCTTCTCAAAAAAAAAAAATAAATAATAATAAACCACAATATCTGTTTGAGACTACTAAACTACCGTATTTAAAGGAGTTAAGGAGAATAAACTTATATTCTGTTGACTAATTGTATTTTAAAATATTAACCATGGATGAAGCAGAATCTCTCTGGGGATAATGATTCAAGTAAATATCCGGACAGTCCAGGATATCCAGTTATTATGGGAAACTAAAGGAAGCACTAAAGGTTGGTTTATGAATATTTTCAATGTTCCTTTAGCATATGTTGAAGTTTTTTTCTAAGGCTTACCTTAAGCATTTTCCCATTTTGAATTTAATCCAAAGTAAGTCTCTCCCCTCCCTTCTAGGCCATCATCTTTAAGCCATAAAATGCCCTGTGTAGGTGGAACAGGTCAGAAGACTGAATACTCAAGCTGCATATGGAGTTAACATGGTAACAACACAGAATGTGATGACAGCTGACTCTAGAATCTCATTACATCAGTTTATATTAGAACTGTTCTGTAGCTCAGCTTTCTCAGAAGTTGGAATTCACATGGCTGTGGAATGTGTTTCTACCTTCACTGTTCAAGGAGTTATCCAACAAATCCAGGGGTGGGAAAACAGCTGGATGAGGACAATAACATATATGACACCTGCACAATCCTTTACCTTGGACCATCTCTCTCACCAGCTGCCTTCTACATCCCTGTCCTACTAACTCCTTCTTCTTTCACTTGAACATTCTTTACCCCAGATTTTTGCATCCTTCAGTGATACGGAAAAGCAACTGTTAGAGACTTTGGCCTAAAGATACATTGAGAAGGGAAAAAAAAGTTTAATAAGTAGCACATGTCCTTGCCCCCACAAATGAAACAAGCCTCATCCACCTTAGCAGTAAAGTATGCCATCTGACTGCTTGGGCCATTTGTACAGATTACGGGGATATGCTGTGCCACTATTACTCCTCAGAACAACTGATACTCACCTAAAGGCAAGGTTAACAGAGTTATTAGAAAAGAAACACTATCCTTTCTTATCCAAACCAATTTGGGTTACTGTCCCCATAACAGGTATATGTGTATTTGTATAACTACCTATGACATGAAACACCCCCTCAAATACTTTCATTTACTGTGCAATCTCCTGATCCTAAATACTACTACTGCCTCTAGCCTTTGCTCCCTTCCTAACACCCTACTCAGAAAACCCTTGAACAAATTCCTTTTAAGAGACCCAAAGCTCTCTCTAATGTTCAACATACGATGATCGGATTTGTAATTTGATTTTAGTTTACATACAAACTAATAAATTAATCTCTTACTGTTTCATGGATGCCGGCAGAAGACATGAGATTCCTGGGTTAGAGACAGAAGACTTACGTTACTTACAGCACAGCAAAGCAGCATGATCACCAGGACATTTATATTGGTTTTCCTGGGTCCCACATTGCCACAGGGGCAATGCAGAGGGCCCAAGGACACTTGCATTCACAGTGGATTGTGTTACAGGAAAGAAGGCTGAGCTTAAATGATCTACCACTTCTACAGTAAGTAGTAAGCAAACCTGCTAAACCTGCTCTTGGTCCTGAAGGGAAACAGTAACTCATTCTTCAGGGTTGCTCACCACAACCCTGAAAAATGGCCCACATAAAGAATGACCAGGGCCTTACATGTGTGGCTCATGTAGCAAGATGTCTGGGAGCACCAGAAGCCCAAGGAGGACTGTCTGTCTCTGTAGCAATCTATTAAATTTTCCCTCGCTTGTGAGATTACTGTCTTTTGTTCCTAAGCCACACTAAGGTCTGATTGCCATTTTCCAAAAGGATCTCTTCTGCACATTGCAAGAACAGAATATGTAATGCTTATAAAGTTTCTATAAGAAATTTTTCTTTGAAAAATTGGGCCAGCTTGTTGTTAACACTCCCACCAATGGCCTCTAAAAGAAGCATCTGCTCACTGAGCTACCCCAAAGGAAATAATTATTTGTAACTAAATCTCAACATTGTTAATCACTGCTGCTCAGTGGAGGTAATAAAGAGGTCAGATCACTCCCCCGACCCTATTCAAGCAAATCTATGATTATCCAGACACAAAAAAAAGGTGTTTGGGTGTGGTGCATTTGGAGGATGAGGAAGAAGATCTAGATCTGCTCAGACATCAGAAAAGAAATATCATACCAGTACAGGTAATATCTAGAAGCTGTTTAATATTGTTCTACATGAAGAACTTACCTAACCCTCTAAATGTCTGCAAATTGCCTCCTTTTGGCTTATTTTTAAGAGAACCAAAATTAGACTTAGCCCAAAAGCAAATAGTAACCCCTTATAATGACAAGCATCTAAAACATGTTCATCCTTCAATTCATTCCCAATTCTCTTTATTATCAATTCCATGACCCCAGGTACCTTCTGCTTTTATCATGCCCTATGGCCACCCAACCCTCCTCCTTTTCTACAACAGCCACTCTATTCTCACCAAGGTCAATATTCCATCATTATACTCACTATGCCCAATGAACCTTTTGTTTATCTCTAACCACAATTACCACTCATTAAAATGAAAAGTTCATCATGATTGCTCAGGTGGATATTAGAAAATCTTTTAGAATAAAGCTTCTCAAATGTTAGGGTGTGTAAGAGTCATCCACAGAGCTTGTTAAAATGCAGATTCCTGAGCACTGCTCCCAGACATTCTGATTCGCTAGGTCGGAGGTATGTCCTGAGAATGTGCATTTCCCACACTCCCACAGGCAAGATGGGATGCTGATGTTGCTGGTCCACAGACCACAGTTTGAGTAGCTCTGTTCCAGAACATATGGGTCACTGACGACCCCCAGAGTCAAGGCAGAAGCATCTTTGGAGGTACCTCATAGCAGCTGCCTATCTAAGCTGGAGTCTAGAAAAGACAGTGAACAATATCAGGGCTGAATGTCCCCCTCCTGGAACCTAGATGACAAGTCTCTTCAGAGAATCTATATTACACATGGGGAGAAGTTGGAGGCACAAGGGAAAAGCCCTGACTGGGACTGAAACCTTAACACAAAGAACTAAACACAAAGCTCCAAACTAAAAATTGAATTAACTTGAATTGACAAATGTAAGTTTTTCCACATTATTCAAAACAAATATTGTGAAGTACTCTGAATTCAGCTATTGAAAAATGTACATCTGTAGCTGATCTGAGTGTAGTATTATTCTTCAATAATAATAATACAAACTATTCAATTCATTACATTAATTTAGTTGTTTTTATAAATAGTTTATCAAATGTGCCTGATTGTGGACAGTAACAGTAATGTTCATTTTTAAATTAGCACCAGGTAAACTTTTGTATTTCCTTTCACTACAACATTACACTCTATCCACATAAGTTCCCTGTTTGTAGTTGGTTACCAAGATGACACAGCTGTCTGTATGTGACTTGCGAGGCAGAAAAAGTATGGCTTTTTTATGAATATAGCACAAATATTGGTTATTTCTATTTTATAGAAATTCTACTTTCAGAATTTTCTCATCCATATATTATTTTCTTTTGAGAGAAAGAAGGTTATTAAAATTCACTGAATAACTCAGAAACAGAAAGTCAAATACTACATATTCTCATTCATAAGAGGGAACTAAATAATGTGTACACATGGACATTGAGCATGGAATAACAGACAGTGGACACTTCTAAAGGTGGGAGGGTGGGAGGAGGTAAGGGATGAGAAATTACCTAACGGGTACAATGTACACTATTTGGGTGATAGTTACACTAAAAGCTCATACCTTGCAAAACAGCCATGTAACAGAACTGTATTTTTATTCTCTAAATCTACAAAAATCAAAATAAAAAAAATAATTTCAAAAAATAAAATAAATTCACTAGACAGTAGTTACTAAAAGCATTCTAGTCAAGAATATAGAACACGACACAATCAAGGGTTTGAAATGATGCAAAAACAAGCTGGAAGTAGTTTTGAAACAATGAAAACAAAAAGTATGTATTCTAGGCCAACAAGTACATCTGCATTCTAGCAACATTAGACAATTTGTTTTCTTCTCTATACTCTCCACATCCTCCGCCTTTTGCCTCTCTATCAAGCTCACCCTAAAAATCCCCAAATCTGAATCAACTCAACCACCAGGGTTCTTACTCTCATATATGAAATGGCAATAACTATTGAAAAACAGAATCAACCAACAGTGAAGACTGGTACGTAGTCTTGAATCTCAAGTGGGGAAACCACCTCCTGGGTAATCCTTATGAAAGTTTCTAGTTAATTCCCTCTTCTACTCTCCACACCTGCTCTTCCAAACTTTCTTCCTTCACGTGTTCATTCATCATTAATGCAAATACTTCATGATAATTTATCATGTGCTGGATGATAAACTGTGCTAAGCACTGGGAACACCACAGTAAACACATTAGTGCAGATTCTTAAGGAGGTCAAAGTCCTAAGACATGGAAACTGATAGAGGACAGGAGAGGGATAGTATAGGGAAGAGAAAAATAAAGCATCTCACTCTTCTTCCTCAAATGTGTCAGTGTCCATTCACCTCCACCCTAGCAGATGGCCTACAGTCCACCCTCCCTGAAAAAACTAGTTATAAGGCAGGAACTCTTTCAACTTCCAACCCCTACAGCCACAAAGGTATCTACTTTCTTTCTTATTTTATTTTTTTTTGAGACGGAATCTCGCTCTGTTGCCCAGGCTGGAGTGCAGTGGTGCGATCTTGGCGCACTGCAACCTCCACCTCCCAGGCTCACACCATTCTCCTGCCTCAGCCTCCCAAGCAGCTGGGACCACAAGTGTCCACCATCACGCCCGGCTAATTTTTTTGTATTTTTAGTAGAGACAGGGTTTCACCGTGTTCGCCAGGATGGTCTCGATCTCCTGACCTCATGATCTGCCCACCTCGGCCTCCCAAAGTGCTGGGATTACAGGTGTGAGCCACTGCGCCCAGCCAAGGTATCTACCTTCTATTTCATAGAGTCAGAAACACCATCAATTGTAAGAAAGAAAAAAAAGTTGCCAATAAAATTATGATTCAGTTCTATAATGCTATTAATTGACGGTAAGAAACGTCTCCATTTACGAGGCTTAAAATGTTAAAAATGTTCATCTTAGAATTAATGAAATACAGTAGGTTGAACCCACCTGTTCCTTCTTAGTCAGGTTAGGCTTAAAAAGGTATTCAAATGGAATTGAGGTGAGTTTCATACATGGGTATTCACCTTGAGAGGTGAAGTCTGAATTCAGCAGGTATTTCACATACACCTTCACCTTATCCCCCTTCCCTTTATCCCCTAGGATACTGTTTTTAGAGCATTCTGACACTGTGTACTTTCTTAAGGGGGGATGAGTAAGGCAAGAGGCAGTGCAGCAGAGTGGTAAAGTGTACAGACTCTATCCCTTACCAGTGAGTTGCCTAATCTTTCCCAGACTCCACTGCCTTGTGTCTAAAACTTCAGAGTTAATGTGTATATTATATGAGATAATGAATATAAGACATTTAGGATAGGATGTGGAAAAAATTATTGATGGAGTTGACTTCCATTTTCTTCTGTAATATCTGTGTAGTCACAGAACTGGGGTCTTTTTTCCCCCCTTATATAACATGTAGAATTATTTTGTATATATTGTATCGATTGTACTAAGCATTAGAGACTTGTAGAAATCTAAGTATTACTCTTGGTGTCAAGGTATTGGGGTACCCAGATTCATTTGTAGATGTGCTGGTACAGTGGATGGATGTTGGACACTTCAAGTTTTGAAGAAGGCACAGGAAGATCACTAGATGAGGCTTCTGAAGACAAATGTGTCCAAATTGGAATCCATGGCCAATAGCATATAAGCTCTAAGAGTGCAAGGGCTTTGTTACCACTGTACTCATCTACAAGTGTGTAGCTCATAGTGGCTGCTCAGAAAACATTTGTTTTAGAAATGAATGAATCTGCAAATGTGTTCTTTCCGTCTTTCTTAAGAATCTATTGGTTATTATATTTATAGATTTAATGGCAACAGGGACATTGATTAGGAAGATGACAAAATGTAGAGAAGAGCTTAACCTTTTCCAAGCTAGTACTTACTCCTTTACTAGGGGCAGCAATGCTACTTTATATTGTCAGTTTCCATGTTACCAGATACTATCTTGAGCTTAATAAAGCTTCCCTAGAGTCGGCAAGTGACACTATTCTTTCTTCGACATGTTATCCCAATACCTAAGGTGTACTGCTGCTAAAAAGGTCAGGTGACACTTTGTTTCATAGGTTATTTCCTTTGTTTTATTTTTGGTATTTTTTTAAAAGGCCCTTTTCCTGCATCTTTACTCTTGCCCTCTGTATTGGCTTCTTCCCTGTGGCCCATAAATATGCTCAAGTATCTCTCAGGTGAAAACACAAAATACATGTTCTCTGAACTTGATACCCCTTCTTAATTACACATCCTCCTTTCATCTAAAGTCAAGTTCCTTGAAATAAGCGTCCACCCTTCTGGTGTCCACATCTTTACCTCTCTTTCATTTGTCCAGGCCTAGATCAGGTTTCTGT